CAGGGCCCAACGTCATTGCCATTCACTGTTTTTTCCGCTTGCTGAAGCCTCACGTATTCTATTACAGACAGATCTTAGTGTAAGGAAACATGGCGGCCAGGACTGGGAGTCAGGAGGAGCAGCAGACTCATGTCAGAGAGAGCCCTTTCTGGGTAGCAAGTTGGAGGTTCAGTTTCCATCCCTATCTATCCCGCAATTAAAGTAACATCTCAATAATCGCTACCGTGATCTGCAGGAGCTGTGGTTGAATATCCTTTGCCTTGTATTTAGAGCAAACAATGGGTTAAGCCTTTGGAAGAAAATCTGAGTCGGTTGCCCCTACTATTTACATTTCTAAATCTGTTCTCTTCTCCATACATCCCTGCCAATTACAGTTAAGGTCAAAGAATTCCTGTGGAATTACGGGTGATGTTGCAGTCCCACATGATATTCCATCTAAGGATATCAAAGCACCACAGTTACCTGAAATTAATTAAGCCTGACAACACTCCAGTGAGGTAGAATGTTGGAGGGGGGATTTTAATAAGATTCAGACAAGTTCATGCTCTATCAATGTCAGTCAGTAATGACTGACAAATAGACCTGTCCTGTTTAGAGACAGAATATCTCTATCAGATGATAAGGAGATGTCCAGTGGGGGAAAGCTGTTACCTTAAACTACTTTGGAGCCAAAAATGGGGCCAATTTATTTCTCCCCACCAATAAAATCCCCTCTTTTTGGTGTGTTTTGCTCCACATTTGTGACACAGTTCTTAAGGGAGGGAGAGCGTCTTCTCGTTGCTAAAGCAACTGGGCCAATGTCTCCTCGCATTTGGCTCGAACTACAGATGCCATTCCTCCACAGCACATTGCTTTCCAGAAGATGCACATCCATCTGCTCATCCCATTGAGAGTAACAAAGTGCAGAGGAATTAATGAGATCTGCATGCAGATCGGAATCCCATTACCAGAATGCATCAGCTCAGTTGCATCAACAGAGGGGGCACGTATCTCTTTCCTCCATGCCAAGCACCAGGTTTCGGGAACCATATCTCTGAGCAGGCATCCCAAATGCATTAAGGAGGGGAAGATGTCTGTGTTTTTTCATAAACATTTCCCCACTTTTAAAAGAAAAGAAATGACAATTTCTGCAACGAAAATCGAGCTGCCCCAAAATTCGGCACAGCACTAGCTCATGCCTTACCGGTGGGTTTCCAAAACATCTCACTGGTACCTTTTCTCAGAGAGGAGGCCTCTCAGACCTGGACCTTAGATAGCCACTGAGAGCCAAGAGCTTGAGAACAAGGGGTCCAGATCCAAGAATTCACCGACCAGGAGACTGACACAGTAGACATTGTATTGCCCGAATAAATTGTACTAGCACAGGAAGTCAGGAGAACCAATGATTGCTCTAGGGGGACAGGGTTGAGCCTAGAAACATTCCACTGATGGAGGGGTTATTTCAGTCTATAACTGTGGTAGTTCCTCACACAGGGTAGTTGTCTGATGATCCATGTGTCCCTGGCAGCGACTCTCGGGAAGCCACCCAGGAGAACCTCCTTGTTCTGGAATAAATTGTGTTAGTCTCTAAGGTGCCCCTGGACTTCTGTTGAATTTCCCCACAACAGACTATGGAAACCCTACTGGAATAATACTTATATAGTTGTGTATATCTTGTATGTGTCTGCCAACCTAATGGACTGCTGAAGGACGAAGAAGGCTACATCATCTAGACTGTGAGGAATTAAGGTGCTAAAACTATTTATTCGTTGAGACATTTGTTCCCCACCTTTCTCCCCAGTGGGGGCCCAAGTAGCTTACCATAACATTCTCCTTTACTCAATTTTATCCTCACATCAACTCTATGAGGTGGGCCAGTTTGGTGTAGTGGTTAACTGAGCGGACTCTAATCTGGGAGAACCAGATTTGATTCCGCACTTCTCCACTCGCAGCTGCTGGATGACCTTGGGCAAGCTATAGTTCTGGTGGCAGAGGTGTTCTTGAAAAGAGCAGTTTCTCTCAGAGCTCTCTCAGCCCCACCTTCCTCACAGGGTGTCTGTTGTGGGGAGGGGAAGGGAAAGGAGTTTGTAAGTCGCTCTGAGACTCTGAGGGAAGGGCGGGGTATAAATCCAATCTCTTCTTCTTCTTCTTCTTCTTAGGCTGGGCTGATAGCGATGCCAGCCTCCAAGTGGGGCCTGGGGATCCTCCAGAATTACAGCTCATCTCCAGACTGCAGAGATCTGTTCCCCTGGAGAAAATGGATGCTTTGGAGGGTGGACTCTATGGCACTGTGCCCCACTGAGGTCCCTGTTCTCCCCAGGCTCCACCCCCAAATGTCCAGGAGTTTCTCAACCTGTATCTGGCAACCCTACTCCCCCCACACACACACACACTGGTGGCCAGGGGAGGCCTGGCAACCCTAAGAGAGAATGGCTGGGCCAAGGACATCCAGCAAGTTTCCATGGTGGAGTGGGGATTTGAGCCTGAGGCTCCTAGATCTTAGTCTGACACTCCAACCACAGCACCACAGTAGGTCTGCTAGCACTGTACAGAAATTTCTCACAAATGCATGGAAAACTTTTAGGCTTGACACTGACGTTGATTTCAAAGAGATCTGTGTGTCATTTGGGGGGGGGGGTTTCCCGTCACAGAACTGATTTCCATGTAGGACATGTGTAATGTTTGAAATGGTGCTAAATTAAACACATTTTCTGTGAACAATCGGTAGCAATGGCTACTGATGTCACAGGTGCACTGAGGTCTCTCTTCAGATGGGGAATGTCGCTGGTACACAGACTCTTTCCAAGGTGAAAGGTTCACTCCATGCCGTGTATTACCTTCCTCTTCCCTCTTTGCTTTCTAAAGGTACCTCGGCCGCTCACAAAGTTATTTGAGAAGACTAAATGGATAGACTTACAGATCATGGGTTCAAAATTGTTGGGGGGGGTGGGTTATATGACACCTCAGAATCATAATTAGTCTCAGAGTGGAAATAAGAGTGTGTTTCCCACATGCTTGTGCAGGGGACCCCTTTTGAGCCTGCGGAAATTCTGACACAGCCACAAAATGGCTGCTGCAGAAGAAAGAGCCAGCCACAAAATGGCTGCCATAGTTTTACTTCAGACACAGTGGGTGCGTTCAGACGGGGCATTTGAGCCGGTATACGAGCCGGTTAAAATCGGAGTACTTACGCGCGATCACACAGCCAACATCTGCCTTCCATCCCTAACCATTGCAAACACCCTTTAAACCGGTGTATTCTGCTACTAGGTCCCCAAGTGGTGGTATCCTGAGTGCTCTGGTCCTAGTCGCATTATCCCCGTCTGATCACTCTCCGCCAGTGTAGAGCCACTTCCGTTCGGAAGCCTGAGGCTTTTGCTTTTCAGCCGCCATTTTTTTTAGCCTCCTTGATGTGCGCTTGGGCGAAGCTTCGCCCCGGCGTTTGTAAAACAAAACAAAAAAAGATGCTTAGTTTTAGGCTGCAGACGGTTCCGGGACCTCACGGAGGCCCTTTTCGCTGTAAAAGTTTAAAGGGAAGTCTTCGCTTCAGGGCACGCCTTTCGGGACAGGGTGTTCTGTGCCTGCGTGAAGATCTCAACTCTGTGGATGGCTGCCTATGCGCATGTGCAAAATGTAAAAAAAAAAAAGCCGACGCACGCTGCTGCACGTCAGTAGTGTAAATGGGCATATCGCGATGTGCTGCACAGTCAGGAGGTGAGTGTGATCGCATCTCTTCCAGATCAAACTGCTCCAGTTCCAACCGGAGCAGTTTATGCCGGCTTAAATGGCCCGTCTGAATGCACCCAGTGAAGATCCTTGTGCTGTGGCGGCAGCTGCTGCCAAAGCAACATTTTTAAAACTCTGCACAGCCAATCAAATCTCCAATAGCCATTCAGAAGCCTTGCTGGGCAAAAGCCCTACCTGGCCTAACAACAATTGGTGGGTGCCAGAAAAGGTGTTGGCAGGCACCATGGAGCCTGTGAGTGCCGCACTGAGGAGCCCTGTGTTTGTGAATCTGGCCTGTAGCTGCGATGGGGGGCTATTCGAGGCTCTGCCCCCTTTCTTAAAAGGACAGCCCACAATCTCTTCTCCAGGAAAACCTTTTAAAGTCATTTTTAAACATTTCCTTAAAGGCATGCCGGGTGTGTGTGTGGAAAACAAAGTGCAGGGTGGAGCACTCCTTCATTCTTCCTCCCCTGTGTTCCTTCCTCTGGTTGAACTTTCTTCCTGGGGGGCAGGGCTCTTTTTGTAGAAAAAGCCCAGCAGGAACTCATTAGCATAATAGGCCACACCCAACAGCAGAAACTCATTAGCATATTAGGCCACACCCCTGCCAGCACAGCTCATTAGCACATTAGGCCACACCCCCATGTTACCAGAAGTGTGGCTATCCAGCCACACCCACCTTTTGCTTGTTATTCTGTTTACCTTGTTTGTTGTCAAAACCCAGGGCCTTTTTTTGTAGCAGGGACTCCTTTGCATGTTAGGCCACACACCCCTACTGTAGCCAATCCTAAAGAGTTCCTGCTGTTGGGTGTGGCCTATTATGCTAATGAGTTCCTGCTGGGCGTGGCCAACTTGGGAGACAGCCGGAACTCCGTGCCTGTGCGTTCCTGCCCAAAAATAGCCCTGCTGGGGGGAGGTCTTGTGGGGGGTTGTGTCATTCCCCCTGCCCCTTCTTCCAATCAGACCCAAGATGGGAGAATGGCAGAACAGACCACCGTACCTTTTTCATGCCGATGGAAAAATAATGGCTGCCCCACCAGAAAACCCTGGCTATGGGCCTGTTGTGAATGCCCCAGAATGCACCATAATTAGGGAGCATGGGAAGATATCAAAAGTTATTGCTTATCTTGAAAGTTCAGGCCAATTGTCTGTGATGATTTGGAGGACCTGAACCCGTCTCACCTGCCACAGGGCTCTCTCTAGGACTGGAAAATTTGTCAGGAGAGGAGTTCTCTGCTAAAAACTGAGATCCAAGCCGCTCACTGTGCTTTGTCTAACCTTTCTTTCCTCACTAGTGTTTGGACAGAAGAGACACAATGTACACTCCTCAATGCCTCCATCACAGAAACCTTCAACTGCTCGTTCAACTGCGGTCCGGACTGCTGGAAGCATTCTCAGTACCCCTGCCTGCAAGTGTACGTCAATGTAACGACTTTGGGACAGAAGTATCTACTATACCACACAGAGGAGACAATGAAAATTAATTCTGAGGTAAGACCATGGGACGAATTCCGTTGGAAGTCCGCTTTGGCAGTGGGATAGTTTTTGTGTTCTCTTTTTCAAAGCAGAGCCGCTCACACGGGTATTCCGAAAGTGCACGTAGAACTTACTATTTATTTACTTCATTTCTCCTCAGTGGGGACTCAAGATGACTCTCATCATTCTCCTCTCCTCCATTTTATCCTCACAACAACCCTGTGAGGTAGGTTAGGCTTGTTTGAAAAATAGGCAAAAATACTTAGATATTTAGAGGTTTGCAATGGATCTTTGCTTCACTGGAGAAGAGGCATTACTTTCTGTTTAAAAAGCTTTATTTCCAAGGGTAGGGTACACAGGAAACCCACAAAATAACAAAGACTAAGGCTACATCTTCAGAGCTACAACGGACCGACCACACGGTCTCACAACAGCAACAAACAATGGAGGTTCTTCTTCTTCTTCTTCTTCTTCTTCTTGACCCCTAGAAGGAAATCACCGGATTACATTAACCAATGATGTTTGTAAACAGACTTCAGTTTCACAGAATTTGATTGCATTGGCTCTGTGCCAGATTTCCTTCCAGGTCAGGCTAAACAATAGCACACAAGGTAGACAGGTTAACCCTATAATGACTCGAATTTAGACCTTACAACTCACATATTCCCAACAAGGCTGAGAGGAGCGTGTGACTGGCCCAAGGTCACCCAGCACCCTTGCATGGCAAAGTGGAGATTCGATCCTTGTTCTCCCAGATCCTAGCCTAACACTCTAACCACTGAACAACGCTGTCTCTCGTTGGAAAGAAGTAAAATATCATGTCTGCTTTTATTTTTTAAGACAAGCTTCTAGCCGTCGTGGTTGCAAAATGCCTAGGAAGAAGCTGAGAAAGGCTCTAACGGCTGTGGGGGTTAAACTGTGCACGGTAACCTGTCCTTCTTTCATGGCCTCCGTTAATGTCCCCTGTCGCTGCCCATACACATGCTACTGACTCCAACCATGCACTGGGATACAATAAATAAGATTCTGAAAATACCCCCGTACCAGGCTTAAAATAAAATAACAGGCAACTTAATGTGAAGCAAGTACATTGGCATAAGTAACTTTTATAGGATCTGACTTTGGACAGAATTTGCATTTCCGTGAAGCAGAATTTAATTTGTATTGTTTTTGCTTTCCATGGCTCGGCATATGAATGCACTCTGCTCACACACACACCTTTCTCTGAAGAATAGGAAATGCCAGTAATGGTCTCTTTACATATTCTTTGTTTCCCCTCCTTCTGAGGTCCTTATAACATCTGGCTATTAACAGCAGTACAAGCAGAGCATATTGGAAGCCAGCAGCTCCTTAAAGCAGATAGGCACAAGGGTTAATGCTGCATCAGACTCCCCAAGATGAATAAGCACGAATCCTTACTGCATCTCCAAAGCAGGGGTCGTTTCGTAGAAAAAGAGCTAGGGGAACTCATTAGCATAACTCATTAGCATATGCCACACCCCCTGACATCACCAGAAGTGTGCCATAAGGCCACACCCCCTGACATCACCGGAAGTGTGTCATAAGGCCACACACCCTGCCCCCAACGGTCCCGGCCGCCGCCGCCGGCCTTGCAGCTCCATTGCCGAGCCCCATGAGGGGCCCGGCGGTGGACCTGCAAGGTCGGCGGGAGTGCACGGAAGCCCCGCGACGGCCCTCCCTGGCCCCAGGCAGGCAGGGGTGGGGAGAGGCAGGGAGGAAGCAACTTAACCTCCCTCTTCTCCTGCCTCCTCCTGGCTGAATGAGGGCTGGAAGCGGGGTGGCCGGAAGCAGGGGGCGGGGCTTCGTCATGTGCCCCGCCCCCCATACCTCACCCGGGGGAACTGCAATCCCCCCCAAAATGACCTCTGCTCCAAAGTGGAATCAGCTGCCTAGGGAGGTGGTGAGCTCCCCTTTACTGACAACTTTCAAGAAAGGGGCTGGACGAATATTTGTCAGAGATGCTTTAGGCTGGTCCTGCATTGGGCAGGGAGGGTTGGACTAGATGGTCTGCATGGCCCCTTCCAACTCTATGATTCTTTGGTTCCCATTCAGCTGACTCCAACCAAACATGAATCTCTCTCCAAATTGTCCCTTCTGCAGCCCGAAGGTGGTGGCATCCCAAAGGCTAGAGAGAGTTCCGCATGGAACATCAAGCTTTTTTGTTAAGCTCCTGATCGCTGACCAAGTGCCATCCTGAGCAAAACTACCATTCGCAATCAACAAAGGCACCCAAACTCATAACAATACATTTACTAACTCGGTAAACCCCCAAGGAGGTAAACTGGAGAACTGAAAAGCGGCTCTGCTGATCAATAGCTATCCCAGGGCTGGTTCACTGCCTAAGCAATCCAAATAGCCACTCAGAACTTAGAATAGCTGTTCGCGGGGAGGGCGGGGTATAAATATAATAAAATAAATAAAGAAGAGAAGAGATTGGATTTATACCCCGCCCTTCACTACCCAAAGGAGTCCCAGAGCGGCTTACAAACTCCTTTCCCTTCCCCTCCCCACAACAGACACTCTGTGAGGCGAGTGGGGCTGAGAGAGCTCTGACAGAAACTGCTCTTTTTTCAAGGACAGCTCTTATCAGAACTATATCTTGCCCAAGGTCATCCAGCAGGTGCAAGTGGAGGAGTGGGGAATCAAACCCGGTTCTCCCCAATTAGAGTCCGCACACTTAACCACGACACCAAACTGGCTCACGTGGGGTGCCAAAGGGGCAGTGACAAGGAAAGAGGTGACAGATGTGGTTTTTGCCTCTTACACTGGTACTTCTGCCACCTAGGTCCCAAGACAGTGTACAGTAGGGTTGCCATTTCCCAGTTACGGGCAGGGGATCCCCTGGTTTGTAAGCTTCTGCCTGCTGCTGCCCAGCTGGCTGTTGGGAGGAAATCCTCCCCCCCAAACAGTGACATCACCGGAAATAAATATGACCTGCCCACGTCACCTGGAAGTAACATGGGCATGTTGGTGATGGCAAGGAGCGACACTCTGGTTTTGGGGCAAAACTCTATGGTCTGAGGCTGATTTTACCAGAGAGTTTTGCCCAAAAACCATAGCATCGCCCCTGATGTCACCGACATGCCTACGTCATGTGACGTCACTTCGTGCTCCCGGAATGTGCCCCCCCCCATCCCCCTGTGCTGGTGTTTCCGACAGACCTGGCAACCCTAGTGTACAGAGGTGCACCTTCTTCAGACTGCATTGGACCTTGCTGGTGCAGCACGGGAGAAAGGTGCTGGAGTGGCTCGATAGCTTGAGCTGGCCCTGAAAGACCCTCTAGTGTTGGCCCAAAAAAATAGTTGTAGTCAGACAAATCCTTTCCCCTCCCACTAGGAGGGCCCAAACCCTATGTGGCCCTGCAGGAAGGCCACATTCATATTAGGGTTGCCAAGTGGCACTTACCTTGCCGGCGGGGGACTCCCGTGCGTATCCTGGCACGTGCCATAGAGTTTTCCCTTGTATGGCCGTGGCCCCGCCCCCAGCATGCCCGGCATCATAACGTCACTTCCCTGTGACGTGCACGCTGGGGCGGGGTTCCCCCCGGGGCCCAATTCTCCAGCGTCAGGGAACGGGCCTCTGGGGCGGGGGGGTTTCCACCCCTCGGGGGGGCTTGGCAGCCCTAATTCACATCTATCAGGCCACCGGGGGGGGGGGGGGAGGGTCAGCCATGTGGCTGCCATAGAGGGAGTTGTGTTAGAGAATATTAATGGCTTGCTACAATTCCTTGTTTACTCCAGTGTTTGGTCTACCTCATCCCAGAGACTTAGGCCTAGTAAGATACTAAAACGTTTATGTTGTTGTTGTCAACTTACAGCCAGTTTACGGTGACCCTGTGGGGTTTTCAAAGCAAGAGATGAGCAGAGATGGTTTGCCATTGCCTGCCTCAGCTTTGCAACCCTGGACTTCCTTGGCGGTCTCCCACCCAAGTACTGAACAGGGCCAACCCTTCTTGGCTTCTGAGATCTGACAAGATCGGGCTAGCCTGAACTATACATGATCAAATATGATATCCCATATCAAAGTAGAAAATCACAAATTAAAAAGCACCCAACTTTTTAATGTCCACCAGCCTTTCACCAACAGAAATGTCTACCGGCCTTTCACCAAGCCCAAACAGTTTGGTGTACTTTAGTTTGTTAGTCTTAGAAATATGAATGTGAATCATTTCTATCGTGTTCAGACGTTTATTAATAAGCGCCTTTCTTAAATAAGTTGCTTACCAAAGTGACCCCCTTTAAACAGCCTTGCTGTGCTTACGGTCTTGGCGACTGAAGAGTAATTATTTTCAGATGTTTTCTAACAAAAGGAGCTTTGACTCTCAAAGGAACATACCCCGAAAATCTTGGTCTCTAAGCTGCTCCTGTACTTGAATCTAGCTATTTTCAGGCGTGTTGAACGACGAAAGTGACTGTTGTCTTGAAAAATCCACCGTGGGGAACCTTTGGGGGAAGCACGCAAGCACTGTACAAATGACGCAGACCACAAGTCTGCGCGTTATTTGTACAGTGCTTGCTTTCTGAATCTTGGGGGGGACATAATTGAGGAGATTAGATGGGGTTGGTTTTGGGATGCTGTCAGGGCTCTTTTTGTAGAAAAAGCCCAGCAGGAACTCATTAGCATAACAGACCACACCCAACAGCAGGAACCCATTAGCATATTAGGCCACACCACTGACAGCACAGCTCATTGGCGCATTAGGCCGCACCCCCATGTTACCAGAAGTGTGCTCATCCAGCCACACCCACCTTTTGCTTCTTATTCTGTTTGTTTATTTATTTATTTATTATTTTATTTATTTATTTTTGGGATTTATATCCCGCCCTACCCGAGCGGCCCAGTCCGTTTACCTTGTTTGTTGTCCAAACCCAGGGCTTTTTTTGTAGCAGGAACTCCTTTGCATGTTAGGCCACACACCCCTAATGTAGCCAATCCTAATGAGTTTCTGCTGTTGGGTGTGGCCTATTATGCTAATGAGTTCCTGCTGGGCGTGG